GGTCAAAACAATTTTCTTCATTTAAAATGTTTCAAGTCATAATATTTTTAAATCATAAATCATACAAATTTTAGGACGTGGCACCCTACCTAGAAAATTTTACACCAGCCGCCACAGGACAGAACCCAATTCAGACTACTCTCCCTCCGCTCTTTTCTGCTTGCAAATACTGATTTGTCAAATATTAATATAAAAAATGTAGCCCAATTTACAATTTAATTCCATCCAATGCCAATATTATAGACAGTTTATTATATACAAGAAGAAGAACAAGAAAAACTAAACAAACTTGATGTGCAGCATCATAAATAGTATTGTTAACTAAACCTATTTAGCTAACTATTTATTAAAAACAGTTTTTGTTCATTTAAATAGTTATTTAGGTAACTATTAAAATTGTTTTAGATGAATAAATAAGGCTAAAATAAAGCTAAACAAAACATGAATATTAAATGGGCATAAGTGTTAAACTTAAAAATTATATGGTATTATATGGCACCATATATGGTGCATGCTTAACATAGGACAGAGATGAAAGAGATTTCCAGAAAGAAAAGCTTTGGTGCCTGAGGTCATAGAAAAGCTCTCAAGTATGTAACACAGATGTAGCTAAGGGTGCTTCACGTGGGTATTTGAAATGCAGATGTTATACGGATGGTAAAGTTCAGAGAAGAAGAATTATAGCCGTTGATGTAAAATGATTGCAGAATAATTCTTTAGGATTTTGGATTTAGTATGATTTACATAATGCCTGATGAAGGGCTTTTGGCTTGAAATATCATGTTTGTAGTGTGATTAATATGGTAGTATTGTTGCTTCTAGAGAAACAGTGTACTGACTTCTTGTGCCTTTTTTTCATTTTGGTGAATGGCGCCGGGTGTGTATATGTGTGTTTGTTGTGTCCTGTCTTGTTTCCTAACTATCAGCGGCTTTATAGCCTTTGTTTGCTGCATGACTTCATAAAGGACTGAAGTGCACCCTGAGGCATGCTGGGAGTTTAATCCCATCTCAGAGGAATTCTCTCAGACACATAACACACAGTATCCACAGACCTCTAAAGCATCTCTAAATCAGCAGCAATGGGCTCAAGAAATCCTAAATGAAGCGTGCAAATGTGACACTAAATGTAATTAGTCATTTTCAATTAGCTGTTTTCAAACAACTGAGCATTTGCTGTTAATGGAACAGGAATTTACAGGGCATGATTCTGAAACCCTGAATGATGAGTTTGTGGAAAACGAATCCAGAAACTTCATGCACATAACACCAGCTTTTGTGTGTTCTTTCAGTGGAGTATCAGGGGCTCAACATGACGGTGTGCTACCCTAAAGTCAGCAGGGATGAGATTCAAAATGAAGGCAATGCTGTGGCCATTATTGGGGCTGCAATCATGTACTGCTGTGTTCTCTTTGCATGGTGAGTAAAACCGTATTGAGTTATTAATAGTTAGGATATTAATAAAATAGCTAACTGCTGATTATCTCTCACAGTAATGAGGCTTCATATTTAGCTGAGGTCTTTGGACCTTTCTGGATGATAAAGGTTTACCGCTATGAGTTTCAGGTATGTGACTTTCTCAGAATTTCTTATAATTATTTTTGTGATTTGAGCTGTTTCACTCTTAAAGGGACAGTCCACCACCCAAAAAAAAAGAAAAAAAAGAAATTCTGTCATCATTTACTCACACTCACGTAGTTCCAAACCTGTATGAGTTTCTTTCTTCTGTGCACAGAAGAAGATATTTTGACCATATAATGGAAGCTAATGGGAACCAAAACTGTTTGGGTACCAACATTCTTCAAAATATCATCTTTTGTGTTTCACAGAAGAAAGAAACTCATACAGGTTTGGAATTACATGAGCGTGAGCAAACGATGACAGAATTTTAATTCTTGGGTGAAATAACCTATTAAAATGACAGAATCATTACTTAAATATATTGTCTTTGAATTACCATCTCTGACAATGTCTCTCACTCTCTGTCCTGAACAGAAAGCCTCCTGTTGCTTCTGCTACCCAGAGGCTGAAGATGGTGAGAATATCAATTCTCATAACAATTTCGAATATGCATAGATTTCACAAACATATTAATGTCATTATACTGTATGAGATAGAAGGTATTAACAGCTTTGTTTCTGTCCTGTCAGAGGAAGAGTTTGTCATTGACGAGAATAAAGGCTGTCAGAAAGTCATCCACAATGAAACCCAGCGCGTTGCCTACAGCTACTTTTTCTTCCATTTTGTTTTCTTTCTGGCTTCCCTCTACGTAATGATGACCCTCACTAATTGGTTTAGGTCAGTTGTTAAAGTACACCTCTGAACTGTTCTGGAGATCAGAGTAGAAAGCACTGGAACACCCAAGAGTTTTCATATTTAGTCTTATTTACTGTGGATGGAACCATGTGTACAAGCACAGACACACAACTATCTAAACAGAGATGTCATATAAACATTTTTTTTTTAGATCTAATTCCAAGTGTTTTCAGGAGTCTGTGAGGAACCTTCAGGTTGATATATAGGCCTATACACTACTGTTCAAAAGTTTGGTTGGTAAGATTGAAAGAAGACAAAGCTGCATTTTTTTTGACAAAAACACAGTAAAACAATAATATTGTGAAATATTATTACATTTAAAATAACTGTTTTCTATTTTAAATTGTAATTTAAAATGTATTCCTGTGATGGCAACGCTGAATTTTCAGCAGCCATTACTTCAGTCTTTAAAAAAATTAAAAAGGGATTTAAAAATATTTAATCATTTCTAAATGTTGTGCATTATTGCACTTTTAAATATTGTAGAAGGTATTAATATTTGTCATCAAAGAAAGTTTACCAGAGAGAAAAAAATATATATTGGGGGTCCTTGGGTTGGGTCGGGGTCTGTATGGTTTAAAACCTCCTAGACTTGCCTGAGTCTGAAAAAAAAAATGTTTTAGCGATAAATAAAGAGATTAATATTTTTGCTTATATATTGTTTCCTTTTGATAACATCTCTAAAATATTTTTTTTCTTTTTCAGTCTTATCATTTCAGACAAATGTACAGTGTATATATATTGGGGGTCCTTGGGTTGGGTCGGGGTCTGTACGGTTTAAAACCTCCTAGACTTGCCTGAGTCTGAAAAAAAAATGTTTTAGCGATAAATAAAGAGATTAATATTTTTGCTTATATATTGTTTCCTTTTGATAACATCTCTAAAAGATTTTTTTTCTTTTTCAGTCTTATCATTTCAGACAAATGTACAGTGGTATAGAAAATAATCACCCCCTTTAAAATAATCACATTTTGTTGCTTTGTAGCCTGAAGTGAAGACGGACACAGTTTTTGTTTTATCCAGCTGTATTTACTCAGTGCAACTTATAACATCCAAGTGAAAGATAAAAACATCAACATGTCAGGAAAAAAAAACTGAATCACTGAGTATGAAAAAGGATAATCCCCTTGTGTCAGTATTTTGTTGAACCACCTTTTGCTTTAATTACAGCCTTTAGTCTGTTGGGATTTGTCTCTATTAATTTTGCATATCTAGACTTTGCAATATTTGCCCACTCTTCTTTGCAGAACTGCTCAAGTTTAGTTTAATTTGATCAAGTTCAGTTTCATTTTTAGTCTCATCTGCCTCAGAATCTTCAAGATGTGTTTTGGCAAAGCTCAGTCTGACTGCATGTGGCCTTTCTTGAGGAGTGGCTTTTTTTCTTGTAACCCTCCCATTCAAGCCACATTTGTGGAGAATTTGTGATATTGTTCACATGCACACAATGACCACTCTTTGTCATAAATTCCTGCAGCTGCTTCAGAGTTGATGTAGGACTCTTGGTCGCCTCTCTGAGCAGTTTCCTCCTGGCTCTTTCATCCAGTTTGGAGCGACGTCCTGATCCAGGGAGGGTCTGTGTTGTACCAAATACCTTCCACTTCTTAATAATAGACTTCACTGTGCTTCTAGGCATTGATTAAACCTTTGACATTTATTTGTATCCATCTCCTGACTAGTGCCTGTCCACAACTTTATCCCAGAGATCTTTTGACAGTGCCTTGCCACCCATAGTTGATTGTTTGCTTCAGTTGCACTACAAAGGACTGAAATGCTCCAGGAAAGCTCTTTTCATGCTGAGCTACTCAAAATGTTCACGGCTGATCACAGATGGAAGTCAAATAGCTTTTTGTGCCATTAAGGTGATTAGCTACACCTGATTGAGTTTACAAGTCATTTTTAGGAGGGGGGTGATCCTTTTGCCAACTCTAACATATTGGTGTTATATCTTTTACTTGGATGTTATAAGTTGCACTGAGTAAATACAGCTGGATAAAACAAAAACGGTGTCCATCTTCATTTCAGGCTGCAAAGCAACAAAATGTGATTATTTTAAAGGGGGGTGATTCTTTTCTATACCCACTGTACATGAAAGTGAAGCGGGCTCGAATCACAATTTTGATAATACTATTCTGTCTCCCCCAGTTATGAGACTGCTGTGCTGGAGACCACCTTCACCCATGGGAGTTACTCCACATTCTGGGTCAAGCTGTCCTCCTGCTGGGCATGTGTGGTTCTGTATCTGTGGCTCCTCCTGGGTCCCCTGTGCCACTGCCAGTCTGATCACAAACAACCTCGCCGCGCTCGCATCAAGAGACGGGCTGCCTCCCACCGCCACGTTAGCGTTAGCGTGTGAATTACAGACTGTTCATCAGTGTCAAAGACATTGGGGCTGGGTGCACGTTACTGGAGATTTCCACCGCAAAGGAAATGAGTCACGGTGGATCCACTGAAGAGAAGACGTTAGTTAAATGAACATTGATCCTCCAGATAATCCTGTTAGGATTAAAATCACCAGCACTATGAATGCAATTCAACATGGGAACAGAAAATGTTAACCATGTTTAAGACTGTACAAGCATGCCTTTAGGGGATGTGTAACAATTGCCAAAAGGAACATTAACATTTTCTGGACAAGCTGGATGTCTGTACATTTAGTGTTTTTTTCTAAAATGTAGAAGAATTTTTCATTGGCTTACAGCATAGATATATGGAAACTATCTGAAATAGGCTTTTTACAATTTAATTTAAGCTTTTGTTATATTTATGTATATTAAGTTGGATAAATTATGTGAGCAATGCTTTATTTCATTGATCTGTGGCTTGTACGTATGTATGTATATGTGTGTATATATATATTCTCTGGGGGTTTAGCCCGCCCCCTTTCTCAGCCAATCAGAGGCCACAGGGAGAAAAAGCTGTTATCTAAAGTATAATGACTTTAAAAACAAGGCTACAGCCAGCCTATTTAGCTCTAATTACATGTTTATGTTAGAAAGTTTGATGTCACTGTCATAAAAGAGAAGTTATTTTTGTAAATATATTTTTAACAAAACACATTCTAGAGTTTATGTGTGTTTTGTAGAAAGGCTGGACTATAATTTAACAACCACAGCAAGGTAATAAGATAATCTTAGTTAGTCTGCTAATGACGAATGGGAAAAACAGCTGCCAAACATAAAGCGGAAAACAACTGTTCATTGGCAAAAGTGCTCCACCATAGACAGTTATATGTATATGCTGCTTATCTTGAATGTGTAAATATGTGTGACTCATAAACACTCATTATCATTTCAATATGATAAAAGCAAATATATTGATGGTAAACATGTAAAATAAGGCAATATATAAATCAAGGTTTCCTCTAGAAATACTGTCTGCTTATAAATACATATATAAAAAACAACATAAAAATGCACATGATAAAGACAGACATGCTCTCAAATTATTTTATGCCATTAACACGTGGTGCTAGAAAGGGCATCATAAATTCTGTGTATTATTTACTTAGGTGTACAATTTTAAAAGAAGGTGACTGTCCACCTAAAGTGCTTCATTTAGTGACTCTCTTTGCTTTGGTTTGCCTCATGCCCATAATTGTCCTCATGGACATAATTCATCCCGACAAAGTGTCCATTGTCTTTATTGAGGAATGCAAAATGCTTTAGTAAAGTCATCATTGATTTCAATTCTGTGTCAGAGCGGGGTTTCTGTCTGTGCCTTGTTTTTTGGCACAATAGTTGAACTTCAGAACTAGTGTGCAGTGAAAGTGTGATCGTCCATGTGTTTACCCCCTGAACTGAGTCCTGCTGCCTCTGTTACCGCAGAGCTCCTCTAGGGGGCGCAGCAGGCTGTCCTCACGTGCTCGATAAGGCTGAGCGTAGCTGTCCTCCTCCAACAGGATGCGATTGAGAGTGCGTTCATAATTAATATGCCGTCGCAGCATCAATATGTATTGATGCCCCTCCTGCAGAAAGGGACAGTCACATTTGTTGGGCGCCCACAGGAACTCCCGGTGCTCCAGACGATAACGGTTGCGATAAGTGTGGATGATTTGGACGTCAAAGCGGGTCTCCTCCCCATGATAGACTTTTTCCAGCACTTTTGCTCGAAATACTGTCACAGCAGACAAATGTATTGTCATCATCCAATATACTATGTATATTAAACCACTTGTATTATGTTGGCATTGGAGACATACTGATTGAACTCACCAAAATCTTTTTGGCAATACTGTCTCTGGCGCTCACCTTTCCCTCGTACTTGGCGACATTTCCCACAGTGGCCTACAAAAGGATGTAATGTATTCATGACATAACAAAAAAAGCCCTGACTTTGTCATCCATGTAAACAACAATTAACAAAGGGAATGAACAAGAAACATGATAATATGCAAATAACGGAAAACTATGTGTACTTCCGTAGCAAGTTTACACTGCCATTTTTAAAAAGTAACATTGCCATTTGTGCAGTACTGGTAGTACCAAGTACCAAGTCACTTCGGTATCCGCTGATAGACAGCTGCTTTCAAACACTCCTGTGCAAATGTATTTGTGTGAAGAGCTTCAGAGGTTTCTATTTGCAATGTGTCTTCTGAGAATAGCCAATCAAAGACATATGCACATCAATGCAATAGCCAATCAGAGGTATTCAAGTTAGACAGAAACCGCAGAATACCATTCAAAATGCTGGCATTTTGTTCAGCACAAAGTTTTTTGTTCTGTAGGCTAATGAATCCCTTCAATGTAACGTAAACACTATGTAAATAAGAGATTATTCGTACAGTATAGACAGCTTCATTGATTATAACAAGAGTTTTCGCAAGATTGCAGAACTGTAATCAATTTGTGCTGAAATGAGGTGATTGACAGCTTCAGTAATGATAAAGGGAGCACTATTTGCCCGCTTTCTGTATATGACCAATTCACAATTTGAATAAAAGTTTTACGTGCCATGCTGCTAAGTACACATTGCAACGTTTCGGAAGTGATAACCATATTTAAATGCAAGATTGACTCTAGAACTGCTGTGACATACACTAATGGCAATGATATAGCACTGACCTCTACGATGTATTTCAGGCAGTCGGTTCCTGCGGTTTTCATCTCTTTCCAAACGTGGGACTGGCTGCTGTTGATAGGGGGGGTGAAGAGGCCAGCGAGCAGCAGGATCTGAGAGCATGACCTCGTAAATCACAGTTGTATTTACTAAAGACTACTCTTTAAGCGTCTGGGACATTTCTGCCAATTATTTCCCATCACACAGACTTCAAGTGTACTCAACATTAAATCTATACCTTTATAACTACCAAGTCTTGTCACTGCACAGATAAGATACTTCTAATACCATATTATACAACTAGTGTAATTTAAACAAAAGCTTAATAGATGTTATTCCTAAATATCAGGAATGAAAGATTTTTACCCCAGAAATTAGGTTTTGTGACTGGCTGTGCTGTAGTAGTGGTTGTGGTGGTAGTAGTGGTAGTCGTAGTGGTTGGAAGTTCAAAGGGTAAGTGGTTTGATGTGTGGTGAGGCTGCCGAAGTTGACTTCTCCCATGATACAGGGCATAGCGGTCTGGAGGCAGCCAGTACTCATATTCAATCCCAGAGTTCTTATCAGTGGACAAGACCTACAATCAGACCAGAACAAATTCACACTGTTGCACTGGCTACTAGCGGTTAATAATTGTGTTGAATTATTATTTTTTTTTCAAGTTTGAACTGAACAAGTTTTTGTGTAATTTTAAAGGGTTACTCCACCCCAAAATGAAAATGTTGTCATTAATCACTTACCCCCATGTCGTTCCAAACCCGTAAAAGCTTTGTTCGTCTTCGGAACACAATTTAAGATATTTTGGATGAAAACCGGGAGGCTTGTGACTGTCCCAATTACACTGTCAAGGTCCAGAAAAGTATGAAAGCCATCATCAGAATAGTCCATCTGACATCAGTGGTTCAACCGTAACGTTATGAAGTGACGAGAATAATTTTGTACGCAAAGAAAACAATAATAACTACTTTATTCAACAATTCGTCTCCTCTGTGTCTCTCCGCATCACAGTTGCGCCATTTTGGAGAATATCCGCTGAACGCAAGCAGCGTACACTATTCTGTGTCAACCGCGACACAAGGATATGCTTTCTACGTGTATTTACGCTTTGATTTGAACGAAAACAGCGCATCCGTGCAGCACGGCTGACACAGAATAGTGTACGCTGCTTGCGTTCAGCGAATATTCTCCAAAATGGCGCTACGGTGACGCGGAGAGACACAGAGGAGACGAATTGTTGAATAAAGTCGTTATTTTTGTTTTCTTCATAATGTTACGGTTGAACCACTGATGGCAGATGGGCTATTCTGACGATGTCTTTCTAACTTTTCTGGACCTTGACAGTGTAATTTTCAATGGGACAGTCACAAGCCTCCTGGTTTTCATCATTAAAATCTCTTAAATTGTGTTCCGAATGCGAACGAAGCTTTTAGGGGTCTGGAACGACAAGGGGGTAAGTGATTAATGACAAAATGTTCATTTTGGGGTGGCGTATCCCTTCAAAGCTAACCATGATGTGCAGGTCCTCCTGAGTTGGTCCTGGAACTTCGAAACTCTCCCAGGTATCAGCAGAGCGCCGATACAGAAGTTTGGTTCCTGCCACATTGTATTCCCCGGGAACATTGATCTTCCAGTTCCCATTGATCACAAACTGAGAGCGCCCATTCTGGAGAGCTTTAAAAAATAAATTACAAAAAGTGATAAACATTTTTTTTTATAAAACATTGCACTACCACAACACAGCATTATTGTAATGCTCTTATATAGCAATCGGACAAATTGCACAAAGTTTTGTTACTGCAAGAACCTAGTGAAAAACTGCAAGTTCTCCAATATGTAATTTTATTGCGCCAATAAAACAAAGTAAATGCATTTTTTCTGTAATCTTCTACAATGCTGTCTCAAACTGTGCACCTTGCCACTTTTGCTTTGAAAACCACATGCTGGAGAGATCACACACAGGACTGTGCTCTAACCTAGATAGTTTCTGCTGTTATCAGTCACTCTGATGTGTGTAGCTCCGGCCGGGATCATAGTGACCTCACTGTACCCAAACAGTCCTGCAGGGAAACAGATGAGAGAGTAATGCATCTCAGCCTCTTTAATAAAAGAAACCACAGTTATTTCCAACAGGTGCGAAGTCCTGCATGGAACTGTATGTTTCCATGATGTGTCTTGCTGCAGCTGCAGCATGGATTGGTGTGGCTGCAAGGCACTGAACTGCAGAATTACGACCCAGGCTGGTTTTTCTCTTCTCCTTTGACTTTTGACCCTCTTTACAGAGCTCTGTGCTGGCAGCCTTGAATCTGTTATCCTACTCTCAGAAATCCAGATGCAAGAGAGTGGAAAACTGAGTTTTTTTTGGGTGGCCAAACAATGGCTGTATTATCGCTGTGTTTTTCCCCAATGTAAATGCTCTGTATTTTCAGTTGGCCAGTGTGATGGAAGATTTTAAGAGATTCTGTTATAATGTGGAGAAGTTCAAAGCCAGAAGTGTCAGTATTCTAACCATGTAGATATGTGTGAGGGGGAGAGAAAGTGCAATATAAATAAGAGAAAGAGAGAAAGTCAGAAACCACTTACACTACAGTTCAAAATTTGGTGTCAGAAAGATTAAAAAAAACAAGAAGAATCCATAAAATTGACCAAAATTGACAGTGAAGAGCATTGCTTTGTTACAAAAATATTGTTTCAAATAAATGCTGTTCTTTTGACATTTCTATTCATCAAAGAACCCAGAACAAATCAGAATTTCCACAAAAATATTAAGCAGCACAACACTGATGATAATTAAAAATGTTTCTTGAGGAGCAAATCAGCATATTAAAGTGAGTTCTGAAGGATCATGTCACACTGTGAAGACTGGAGTCATTTCTGCTGAAAATTCAGCTTTACATTTGAAAATATATGCAAACAGAAAACAGTTATACAGTACTAAATTGTAATATTTCACAATATTACTGATTGTACTGTATTTTTGATCAAATCAGTGTAGACTTGATGAATACAAGAGACTATTTTCAAAAACATTTTTAAAATCTTATAGAAACTTTACATTTTTGAACAGTGGTTAGGTTAAGAATTTCATGGCTAAATGCCAGATTTTACAGTTTGGAGGTCATTGTCCTCTACTCTGAAAAACAAGATTCATACAAGGATTCATTCAAACAAGATTCATGCAGTTACCATTTATTCACATCTCTTACATTATGTTTAAATAAAAATAGCGATTTCAAAGTTGATAGATTATATAAACCAGACTGAACATATTTGCTGAATTCTGAGCTTATTTTTCTGTTCTGCTGTTTAGAGTCAGTGTGAGTGTAGTTAGATTCATTGCTGACCGTTGTTCTGCCCGTTGCTTTGATAAACACTTCTGTGATGAAGGCAGGTTGAGTTGTGGCCTCCACACACCATGCAGGCATCCTCCTGCTGCTCAGATCCAAAGATCAAGTCACATCCTGGCTTCTGCACACACACACACATACAAACCCTGTGATTAGAAGCCAAAATATCAAGCACCGTCACATTCTGTTTTAACAGTACAAGCTGATCCCGCAACACTCCTGGCGAAAAACTGGAACAGCTTATGGCCCAACAGATTCTTGGAGACCTTCCAAGAAATACATTTAGACACTACTAAAGAGTGAAGCATCCAAGATTAAAGACCCTCAAAATAAATGCATCATCTACTACAATAAAACTTATTGTATCGTTGTAATAGCAACAACAATTTGTTTTCATCCGTTCATCTTGGCACAATATTTTCTGGCATTTGTAATTGATTTAATGAGTTTTCAGTGTTTCAACTTCTTTAATCATATGTATATTCAGGATGGATTAGGTGTAACGAATTCAACACTGCAAACTGAAATTCACTGAAGTATACATAATGCAGATTGCTGTCTATTTTTTACTGCTTTTACTTATGCTGTTGTTGTGTTTATTCACAATTATTAAATGTCTAATCACCGTTTTGGAATGCATATAAGTGTGGGGTTGGTACGCTTTATTTTTTTTTTAAAGCATTTAATACCTTTGTTCAGCAAGCATTTGTTAAATTGAAGTTTATGTTAATGTTTTATAATCTTACAAAACATTTGTATTTCAACTAAATGATGTTCTTTTCAACTTTCTAGCCTATTCATCAAAGACTCCTGAAAAAAAAATGTCTCCTGGTTTCCCCAAAAATATCAAGCAGCTCAACTGTTTTCATCATTGATAATAATCTTAAGTACCAAATCAACATATTAGAAGGATTTTTAACAGTAGTACATGTAGAAACAACAGAGCAAGATGGTGCAGAATGCTTCATTTTTCAACATACATTGAAAAAAACAAAACGCAAACAATATGCAATATTTCTGATATCAACATTTTGAAACTATATGAATAATTCCAAAACAATCTACTCCACAATATGGAGATCAAATAATAATAGTTTTTTTTTTTTTTGAAAGCATTTAATACCTTTGTTCAGCAAGCATTTGTTAAATTGAAGTTTATGTTAATGTTTTATAATCTTACAAAACATTTGTATTTCAACTGAATGATGTTCTTTTCAACTTTCTAGCCTATTCATCAAAGACTCCTGAAAAAAAAATGTCTCCCGGTTTCCCCAAATATATCAAGCAGCTCAACTGTTTTCATCATTGATAATAATCTTAAGTACCAAATCAACATATTAGAAGGATTTTTAACAGTAGTACATGTAGAAACAACAGAGCAAGATGGTGCAGAATGCTTCATTTTTCAACATACATTGAAAAAAACAAAACGCAAACAATATGCAATATTTCTGATATCAACATTTTGAAACTATATGAATAATTCCAAAACAATCTACTCCACAATATGGAGATCAAATAATAATAGTGGGTTGAATTCTTTAAACACATTCAAATACGTTTCCACCTCCACTATGTAAGTGTGTGAAAGGTAGTCCAACGGTAACTGCTGCCAGCGACCAGGGGTCTGTCATTGAAAGCTTTACACTGCAGTTCTCTGAAGTCCATAGAGTCAGCAGGACACTCCTGGTGTTACAGACACAAAGCTCAGGAGAGAAAACACACACATCTAAAGCTGCTAATATCCTGATTCATTAACACTCTTAGAACAGCCCTGGAGGACTCCGGATAAATACAACACATGCATCTGTGTGCTGACACAATGACCCCATTTAAAGCTGGTTTTAACATCTGTCCAGGGTGATGGGATCACAGGTGTAAGCAACTTAAAATATTTCATGATCTGATCACTCAATCCACATTCAGAGGTAGTCAGGAACACATATGTCCATATTGCATTTGTAGTGCAAGTACTAATCCATCTCGATGTGTCCCAGACAACAGTGAAGGGCCGCTTACTCGCCTGGTAATCATCCATGTACTAAAACAAGGGTTAACATTAAAACCATTCTTTGTGGAGAAGTCCATACATATACAAGCTCAAGACTTCAGGGAACTTTAGTTTGCCTGACATCAATATAGTGACACAGATCACGAGAATCACGCACATCTAAAGTAAAATGAATACAGGGGATGAAACTTTTTTTGTTTGTTGGTATTTTATAATGTTAACATGCATCCTCAACACACTTGTGTAGTAAGTGATATACAGTGGGTACGGAAAGTATTCAGACCCCCTTAAATTTTTCACTCTTTGTTATATTGCAGCCAGAAGTTATGAAATTGAGGACCATCCATTTAAATCTGACAAGTTTGAGGGCGGATGACCTTATGTCCAAGCAAAAAATACAACAAAATACCATGTAGAATTAGATAACCAAATACATATAAACTCTCGATATTTAGCACTAGCATGTTTAGGATAAGGTGTAGTTGAAATGTATTTCTATGTAGAAATCCTGTTCAAACAGTAAAGAATTTACTGCACCTTTGTGTTACAAATCTTGTATTGCCTGGTGTCCCCCGAGCACGGCCCTCCTACCAGATTTCTAAAGGGAGAAACAATAATCAAGCCTGATCAAGTAAAACACCATAAGGCTGTTTACACAGGATGCATTCTTGCATTTTTCACTGTCAGAAAAAATTTGCAAAAACTGAACCTTTAGGGCTACAACAGCTTGTCACTGGGACAGTAATGGGACTTTACTGCAGCTTATCTGCCCCTAAATGGTACATATTAGAGTACTTTTAAGATACAACTATGCAATAAAGCAATGTGCAGTGTGTGTCCTTTTATGGTCAAGAAGCTTACCTGGTGATGCAGGTGCGTGTACGGACAGACGCCCCTCCCCCACAGGAGCACGAACACACAGACCAACCGCCCCACGAGGCCCACTCATTCATGAAATGTATTTGGCTATGCATCTGTGGTCCCTCACCTCCCAGCTCTACTCGTCTGGATGACTGCAAATGTATAAACAAAGAAGTGAATTAAAGGTTGCCGAACAACAACACAGAGAGACAGCAGAGGTGGCAGATTTGATCAACTAAGTTGTGCTAAGAGGTTTTTTGCAAGCTCATCCACTAGAACAATAGCATGTAAAATATATTTGTACTAAAAAAGTCATTTGATGTATGTCATACACTAAACTAAAGGAATCCTGCGCTTACTGTGTAAATGATTGTGCACTAGTTCTCAAGACACATGAGAGGCCACCAAAACATTTCCTGCTCATCGGCTATGCTAGACTGCACTTGACATTTGTGGAAGTGTTTGAGTGTTCCCCAGGTGCTTGACTGAGCTCTATTACACACAGCCTCCATTACACAAGCGGTATTCCTATCAGACCACCACTAATCGTCTTCAAGGATAGCATTACTCTGTCATTCTTAGATCCGCTGCTGGCTTTGATCTGAGACAAACAGGCAGTAACAGCCTGTAAAGAGTGAGGAGCTTCCATGGGTTGCCTGAGGCCTAACGTCTCCTCAAGGTGTATGTGTATTCTTGTAAATGCAATGTAGGTGTGGAGACTGAGCATGTTTTTCTGCTTCTATCATATTATACAACCTCATACAGAGCAACTGTTTGTCTTTCTAAAATAATATTCCTCCACGATATCACGAAAATCTAATTGAAGCAATTCAGACAGTCACATGAGGTGTGTAAACACGTCGCAACAAAATGAAATGATTTCAGCATACAAACAGAGCATTGAACTTGCATTCCAAACTTTGACCCCTAAAGGGATGTTTTAATGGCACATATATGACTGCTTTTTGGTCCAGAGCTTTGTACTGGTTCCTGAAATGAACCTTTCAGTGAAAATATTACAGAAAAATTAGGTTTGGTTTGACTAATCTAATAAGATTACCATTGCAGGGAGAAATGGAATGTGTGTCAGAATCTCCTGACCTTATTTAGCCTAGAGACCTGTGGTGAATAGAGGTTTGGTAATGAGTGAGGATGTCTAGCTGTGAGGGTTAAAACAACAGATGACTAAACTCACACAGACACAATAGTGCTTTATGACTGACGTCCATCATCTTCAATACCGGGATGACCTGGAACTGCCCTCGTTACCGTAGCAAAGACTCAAATTAGTGTTGATGACAGTCTGCCATGGGGCCCGTAGGCAAGGCAGATGAATGAAATCGACCTTTCAACTTCAGAACACCAGCTTCCCCTCAAAGGCAAGATTTAAAAAAAAGTATATTCTTGGAAAGTGTTTTTGAAAATGAAATTCCTAGTTCTGAAATGAACTTGTTGGCTTCCTGTCGATAGGTCTTGTTTGTGTTGCTTTAAAGGAGATGTGAAAGTCATTCCAGAGGAATGAAGATGATAATGGCTGTTGGACAAGACCTAGCTTGGATCTTGGGAGAGAAACTGGGAAAATGACTGGGTGAGGTCTAAAAGGCACCAAAGGCAGAGTAGTACATGCAGGCTTTCCATATAGCTACCAGTGAAACTAAAAGGGCTAGATCACCCAAAAATGAAAAGTCTGTAATCATTTACTCAAATCAAGTCATTCCAAACTCATTAGACGTTCATTCGTCACTCCTAAATTAAGATATTTTGGGTTACACTTTATTTCGATAGTCCACTTTAGACATTCTACTAACTATAGTTAACTTTGTAACTACATGTCAACTAATTCTCATTAATTTGCAACTACATGTCTACTAACTCTCAGAGTAGACTGTTAGGGTAGGTTTAGGGTTAGTAGAATAAGTTGACAAAGAAAGTGTTAGAAGATATTAAGCAGACAGTCTACTAATACTCTACTAACTGCTAGCTGACATGTAGTTGTAATGTTATTTACTGTTAATAGAATGTCTAAAGTGGACTGTCGAAATAAAGTGTTACCATATTTTGAATGAAACCTGAGAGATTGCGGTCCCTCCACTGAAAAAATGTATTCCACCAAAACTGATGCTTTGGTGGAGACATCATAAGTAATCCATATGAATCAAACGGTTTAAAATGTTTTTTGAAGAGATACAATCACTTTATATGATGAACTGATTTAATATAGGCTTTTCATTCATATATCAACACACATATACATAAAAATAATCAAATATGGTAAAAGCAAGCTCAAACATGCTTGCTTGACAGTTTTATCATAAGTTTTGGATGAATGGACTTTCAATGGAAGGACAGAAATCTCTCAGGTTTCATTAAAAACATTTTAATTTCTGTCTTGAAGATGAACGAAAATCATACAGGTTTGGAATTAAATGAGTGTGACTAAACGATGGCAGAACTTTATTTTACTTATTTTTTTGGCTGAACAACCCTTTTAAATGTTAAAGAGAGAGCATGAGCCAAATGGCATGTTCTTCTTAACTGATCATTTCTGCAATGTGTATAAACAGCAAATCCAAAACAATACAGGGTGGCATCCCGGTCTCTGAACCCCCGAGGTGATCCTGCCCTGGTTGCTCTGAATAAGCTCCGCTCTTGGCAATCAACAGGAAAGACAGCACTCTAGTTAAAGTGAGCAAAACCTTGGCAGCGAGCCTTGCCGATCTGAGCATTCCCAACTGACTGTTCAAGATTGTCCCTAAACATTCAGTTTAACTGCCTGACATGACATTAAAGTTACTGTTGCAGACGGTCTATAAATTGAAGGATAGTGGGATAGGGAACATCTTACAGGCAGAGAGGACAGGCAACTTGGAGACATCAGTAGTGTTATGAGAGTGAGGGCCTGGCACAGAGACAGTTTCCTGGAGACAGAGAAAATAAATCATGTAAGTCAATCACAAAGTCTTACACACCACCCTATTTGACTTTAAAATGGAGCCTGGACTACAGGGCTCACTGTATAAGTGTTACTGCTCTACATCAAAGACTCTTGATTAATGACAACAAATAGTGACGGTGTGTCCTATACATTGAGAAATCACCGCCACTGAGAAAACATGTTTACGTGCATTTTTAGAGTATGAGTCTGACTCCCAGCAGTGAGGTCAGCATACTAAGAGACCACACAACGATTGACTCATCAAAGGAGCAGATTCTCAGAAACTCTTTACAGCTTTGCTAAAGCCCGACTGTCTTCTTTGTATTGTTGTAATGCCTATGAATTCAAAATTTGAGAAGTTTATAGGGGTAAACTCATGTAAACATGCCACAGTATTTCTTTCTCCATCATACATTTGTGTACAAACATTGTTCATCTTCCTAATCTTCTGCGAACATGGGCTAAGAGGCTTATTTTAATAGCAACCCAGAGTGGACACTGGTCAATTATAAACAATACACTCCCATTAAGAACTGATTCAGAAGAGCAATATGATGAAATACATTTTCATGTGCATCTCTAATCATTGTGAATAAACACGATCAAAAGAGACAGACTGTAAGTAATGAATCATGATTACCTCAAATAAAATTCTCAACAGTACAACCTGCACTCAACAGTTTACCATATTAGCTCAGTTTATTAGCAAGGTCAAGGGTCAAAAGGTCTATAGTTAAAAGACAATAATGATGTTCATTTAGATGGTTTTGACTGCTATAGCCTGAAGGTAAGAACATAAACCTATGCCTGTCATGAAAATGTGATTTAAAAAAAAAAACAATATGACTTTATCATTAATAATTTTAACTGATTGAAACTGATAATAAAAATGTTGAACAATAACACTATAACACTTGCAAAGTAACTGTGACTGAAATAAAATGTGGCTTTGTATAATTCAATTGCAACAAATAGAGCAAATGAGGATGTCTGAGATGATGAAAAAATGAAAAATATTTGAAATATATAGTTTTCAAGGGCTCACATGACGAAAGAAATGGCTTCCTGTGTTGGTGCTTTTTAACTAAATTTAAAAGGTAAGCATCAAATAATAATATCATTTTAATTCAGCGGTGAAAACATGTTTGTCTAGAAGAGGTGTAGTTTTACTGCATTTTTTAATCATTATGTCAATGACCCATAGATCTTAAGGACTCGAGTCTGTCCCAGGTTGTTTTCTTTGGTCTTTTCCATCTTCCCTTCAGCAATACAATAAAATTATCAACGTGTTCCCCTCACAGTAGAGGAGCATGGTCCACATACCTGTTGTTTGCCTTCTGCATTTTAGGTCTTCGTCAGGTGTCACAAAATAACTTCTTGAGATCTGAAACTGGACTCATCTGATAAAGTAAAGACCACGAGATGTGTGATCCCAGTGGTTTTTATCATCAAAAAAATCGGGAAACCTAATTACATCCATGTTTCACAAGTGTTTCCTCTGCTGGGTACTTTTCCTGAAGTTTTCAAACACGCAGAAGCCAAAGAGGATGACCTGAATCCTACATAATCCTGAATAAAAAATGAATAACTGAAAATACATATAGGCTACTTCACGTCGTCCGCGCTTATTTACATTACGGTCCTTCTCACTTTCCAAGGTGCTGTTTCATAGAGCAAACCTCTGAATCGCTTTCAGTTTCACATCAGAGTGTCCAGCGTCCGATCTCACAGGAAGGTCTGGTTATAAGACTTCAGATCTTCTGTCTTCATGTGGCTTGGCTTTCTGTGAACTCTACCTGAGCCTCTCAGAAAAGAACGGCTCTTCGGTCAGGAGTCAGGACACTTGGTCCTCCTGTAGATTTCACATTCAGTTTCAGATTCACATCAGGCGCTGAATATCATCTGAGAACAGATATAATATTGCGTTTGTCCTAATTTGATCGTTGCACAAACGTTATGTGTCATTACATCCAAAAACTCAACAGGATATACTTTCTTGATAATAATAATAATAACAACAACAGCATTTCTATATATTAGCAAAATATATTATCGTTAAGTTAAATCGCGTTTAATTGCTGCCTTTTTTCCCCAGTAAATCAAGGTAACATAAGCCACTTTGAGTTTAATTTCTGGTAAAGAAAACCAAGTCGAAACTCTAATTAGAAATGATAGAAATTATTGTGGCAAGTGGGAAAAGATGAAGCTACATCATGATTTTTTTTTTTTTTTTTTTACTGTACACATTTCGTTTTAGGCTACAGAGCATCCTCAGTGAGAGTAAAACTTATTTCAGATGGCAAACAAAGCATATTTAAACGAAGCACGCATAATAAAGTAGTAGTGAGTTACCCGTCAAAAAGCAGCGTCTGTGATGATCCGGCGTATGTAAATAAACTAGGCCAGAGTTTGCATTGCTGTGAATGAGAGCCGCAGCTTTGCGTGCCGCCGCGTTCACCTGAAGCGCAGCCCAGTGTGTGCCTACATTCCGATGAAAAACTAGTAAACACGCCCCTCTTAAACTGAATGTTGCCCAATCCAGATTGTAAATGCTCCAGTAGCTGTAGTTCATGAATGTAATAAATTGTCCTTGTATTGTGAGCCTTAAAGTCCCCGTGAAATCAAAATTAAAGTTTTTTGGGTGTTAGTATCAATATGTTAGTCTTAAGGTTATCTATAAGGCAGTGTGCTCCAAATCAGTGACAAAATTCGCATTTAGAAGATATAAGCATTCAAAGCTTGCAGTTCGTCACTTCTGCCAAAACGGCTCAACAATTTTTTTGACGTCACATCGTACTTCAGCTTCTCATCAAACGTTCTGTCCAATCAAATGCTCTCTAGAATCTGAAGCGCCCGCCCCCTACACTATAAAATAGACGCTGAAGCCGCGGCTGAAATCGGTCACTTGTCCACAGAATTAGTATTTTCTGTACAGTGAATGGCACGTAGTGGACAGGGAACAATTCAAACAGTGTAAATATGCTTTCCATTGAGGACAAAAAGAAGTCTGGTTTCGCGCTGTGTCAGCTAACCACCGCACCGCACACACTCTGCTCCGGTCCAGAGACACCATAGCACGGAGCGGATCACATGCGCGAGTCAGCGCAGACCACAAAATGTATCGGAGATATCTGAATTCTACACAGAATGCTATATTTTATAGCAATATAGATGAGATTGTGGCTGGCATACCCTGTCAAATGCGGCTTTATGGAGCTCAACGGCTCTGAACGGCTCTAGCCCAAGCTGTGATATAAACGAACGCTATTGGCTATTTTAAAAAGGGGCGGGGCTGCTTGATATGTCCCGCCCTGTCTTCCTGTTTCAGTTCAAATGACGTCAACACATAGAGTAACGCTGGTGTTTCTAAGCATTTCAGGGGACCTTTAAGTCACAGAATGTTTCAATAAGTTGAAAGATGTGCATGCCATCAGACTATGAATTATAAAACAACTTCCAGAGGGATTCACTTTTTTAATGGATTTTCTATAGGTAATTTTCAAGGCTCAATCTGTTGAGGCTGGTCTTGTGGAGGTCAAATGGTCTTTTGGCACTGCTGGCACAGTTAGGCTTTCAAAACAAAATACGTTTAGGTGAACTTCATGTGACATATAACTCTGTTAGTGAAACAACAGGAATACCTATTGAGATTTTATCAATATACTGTCCGTTACTGATGGAAGGAAAATCGCTCAGCAGCAATCACGTCTAAACATAGGCCTAATGGTAATTATGTAACCTGTGTAGTTATTGAAGTGTTGTTTGAAACATTCTTCATGTTGTGGATGACAAAAGGCAGATATGATACAAATTATTGGAAATTTGTCACTGTTTTCTAGATGATTAGAAATATCACAACAATGACTTTCTCAACAAGTGGCTGTGCTTATATTGAGCTCTCCTGCAGACTCCAACCTTGGCCATGGAAACAGTCCCTAAAATAACTCCATATCAGCTGCAATGGATCATCACATACAAACCACACCCAGGCGATGTTATGTCTCTTGTCTCTAGGTTCTTTGATTTAAAAAAAAAGGAAAGCAATGCCAACTCTACTAAGCACTTTACCAGAGCATGATGATAAAGTGCCCCAGAGCCTCGAATGGCAAGTTTCAGCTTGCAGAGAAATGTCTTTAGCAAGTGTACCACATCTTTATGCTCCTCAATGAACATAGTCAACCTCTGATTCACAGCCACTCAAAGGGATAGTTCACCCAAAAATGAAACTTTTGTCATTTCCTCAGCCTGAAGTTGTTCCAAACCTGTATACATTTCTGTTGAACACAAAAGAAGATTCAGCAACTGTCTGGTTACCATCATTCTTCAAAATATCTTCTGTGTTCAACAGAAAAAATAAACTCATACAGGTTTGGAACAGCTTCAGGGTGAGGGAATGACGATGATTTTGGGTTTTTCATTTTTTCACTTTAATCTCTATATAGATATGAAGATCACAGTCAGCATTTTAAAATTGTATTGCATTCAAGCATACGTATTTCAATTGTAGAAGACAGTCATTCATTGATTTGATGGAGATTTGTGCGATTGCTCAACAACATTTTTGACAAGCAGTCCCAGCGGTGTCTTTAATGATAGCAGATGCTGCAGTGAACAGACCACAGTGCATCTTCTGGTTTGTTCACCTTCACTTGTGTGTGTATATACTTTCATATTTTTATTCATTGTTTATTTCTCCAGGTCATAGATGTATAACTCCATCAATAACCACTTGACTGGTCAATCAGAATAAAATCATCTTTAGTAACCATAATACAAGGGAATAAAAAACCTGGGAATGACAGTGTTCCAGAGTTCCATGTATATGTGCCTAACAGGCAGAGAGTAATCCCTGTAAACCTGACACTGACAGCTGTACTCAACTTGTGATTTTGCCAACAGAATCCTTAATACAGTGCACCAACATCTCTTTCTCACATTTTGAAGCAAATAAAAGTTTAAGAGTGGGTTCATATTGTCTTTCTGCATGTTAAGTCATAACACCAGTAGGTGGCAAAAAGTGAGTCATTGAATAATTTATTCAACCCATTAGTTTAAAATACTGATTAATTCAGGAACAAAACAAGTGACTATGGCTGCATACTTCCCTACATAGTTGGTAAAAAAAACGGCATGTGAAAGGAGGAGTATGCCGAATTCAGTATTGATAAACAATAGGCAAAAAGTACCCGATTACATATACTGCTTCTGAACAGGTCACTTTACTATCTATCCCATGAGGCCATGGCACAGAAGTGCGAAACAACTGGCACTCTTAAGTCAAAAGACAATAAGGGGGTTGTAATATGTCCAAATTTCATTCAAACTACATACATTCACACTATTTAGAACATACTGTAATTTTGACAGTTGTGGAGTTTGTTGATCATCAAATGTACCTACTCAGATAGTATGTGATTTCGGACATTCATTCAACCAACTCATTAAAACACGGATTCATTTAGAAAGGAAACCCCATTATTGTGTATTGCTCAGAGATGTGCAATAAGTAATTTAAGCTTTGTGTGAAACTATTTTTATCGGTGGAGCACAAATAGACTTATTAGCTGGCAATATTTTGTCTATAACTTTCTTTGAACTGTTGTCTTAAAACAATCGCATTCATTGACATGCTGTCAGTCTGAATATCAGCAGGACTGTGATTATCTGGTTGTGTGATACAGCTTGATATTTGCTCTGAGCAGGAAAAAACTCATATTGTTTTTCCTATACAGCCTTACAACCACTCACAATGGAGCTTATTTTCAGAACGGGGGGTTACTGAGTGTAAAAATCTAATGAAGAGACATCTTAACACATAAATCACTCCATATACAAGCATCACATTCAAGCATATACATTACTGCTGTGTATGATATACAAACAGCAGCCAGTTTACACATAATCTCTTGATGAAGATATATCTGTACACAACTCTTCTGCATTCAGCAAGTGCAAAGTTTAATAGTTGCCCTGGCAACCTGACTAGCCTTCAACTTGCACGCTGTTTATTAGTGACAGTAGTGATGTATCCCACAGTGCAAATGAATCCATACCCTGTGTGCAGTTAGGTATGCGAGAGTGGAATGACTGCATGGTGAGGGCTGTTTTGCGATAGGCCTTGTGAGCCAGATAGCTCAAATGCATGAGTTGATGATAACATGTCTCTGGAGGATTGACTCCCTCCTGTACACTTCACTTATGACAGCTGCTCTAAATGGTTTATGCCAGATGGTGGATGTTTGACAGGTAACAGCTACTAATATTATAGGCAGGTGTTCTTTCTATTATTCCCTCTCAAAATGCATAATATTTAAGCTTTACAAACAAGGGACAACAAGAAGGCATGCTTCATTCCTAGTAGTGAGGAACAGAAATCCACTAATTGTGTGTTGACAGATCGTTACATGACATCTTTTAGCTCAGAGAGCACTTACCCCAAACAATGTTCTACTGGCAGAATCCTTGCACTGGGTTGAATTGGAACGTCCTAAGCCCTTGATCAAGTATGCTTGGGCTATTGGAGAAAATAATTTAAATTAAATTACATTTACAAAAACATTTTTATACAATAAACCAGGGGTTCTCAGCTCTGGCCCTCCAGGTCCACTTTACTGTAGCGTTCAGCTCCATCCCTAATCAAACACACCTTAACGAGGTAATCAAGACCTGCAGGATAACTAGAAAGTTACAGGCAGGTGAGTGTGATCAAGGCTGGAGCTGAATTTTGCAGGAAATTGGACCTTGAGGGCCAGAATTGAGAACCCCTGCAATAACGTATGACTGTATAACAAACAGTCAGCTTAAAGTAGCAACAAGTATTAAGCAGTTATATCACAAAATATGCAGTTATATCTCAAAATCATTCTTATAATTGTGTGTGGTGGGGGTAAATTAATTGTGATCTACTGTATCGTCACAATCATGTTGCATTGTGTTATATGGAGCTGCCTGAAGTATACATGCTATATTAGGTGACTCGTTCCCTCAGTCAAGTGGAACACACTTTAGTGGAGGTGGAGACTGCACAGAAAAGAAGTGATTAGGGAAGTTTGTGAGTGTGTGTCTAAAAGCAAAGTGGAACACACCCCTGGTCCTGCAGTGCAGAGTTCCTTTGAAACCCTCCACCTCCCCCAGCTCCACCTGTCCAGATCTGCTATGGGTAATTTCTTGTATGCTATTTGCACTGCAGTGCCATGGCTACATGCTCACAGCAGCATGACTGTGCAAACTATATCCCAAGAGTTGCCATGATAAACTATGGAGTTCCCCTCCCTGATTTTATCAATGATTATATCAGGCATCTTTGTACAGAGATTTACTGATAACACTCTAGGACAAATAAACACAAGTTCAGCCATTCCACCACATTTTCTTATGTGAGGTCCTTGAGAAACACAGTAGTTTGACATACAGGAAAGGAAGGGGACCCGAGGAGATCGGGGTGAATAAACTGCTTCTGAGTATCTTCATAAAACACAGTGTTTAAACACAGCTGTGCTCTGACTCAACAAAAGGTCAAGTCAATGATTACACAGTGTCAGTGTTTGTGTCTGTAGACACGTTTGTGTGAGATGATCCTCTGTTAGCATGTCGGTCAGTTCAGTTGGCTGTATCTTAATCACAATAATGGGTTAAATCTGCCTGTTTTGTCATAACATGCAAGACCTGTAACAATGCTAGCATGAAATGATGTGGACTTCCTACAAAGAAAGAATTTAGCAAACCACAAAAGTAAAAATCTTTAACAGAAACTGGATTGATTATCTTAGGAATGTAAAGTTCAGTTTAATTTATTTCCCATAAATATCAGTTAAATTTAGTATTAAGTACACAACTGCAAGCACTTCCATGGAATTATTTTTGTGGTTGTTAGCTGATCCTACATCAGTGTTGGCTATTTCTGTTAACACTAAGCCAATATATTGTAATCCAAGAACCCAGAAGCAGCTGGATGACTGCTAAATTTATGCCAGTGAGTGTTGCTGTTTGAAATAAAAGTTATTAATGGACTTGCTGTTGTTACTGTGTGTTGAGCTAACACAGCACTTTTTTTTTTTTTGGATACAATTGAGAATGAAACAGAAGTCTGAAAAATAAGCAGTCATGTCCACACACAGTTTCTGAATGACCTGTGGAAAAGGTTCTCACCCCTTTGTTTATAATACTGGGTGGCAAATGAATGACGAAACCTGTAGTGTGTCCGGGAAGTGGACGTAAATCAGCTCTTGCTTGCTTACTTCCCAGACTTCTAAGAACGAGACATTCATCAGGAAAAACACAGATTTCAGAGGACCTGCAACAAGTTCAAAATTAGTCCAGCTAGACTGAATAATTAGCCATGATCAAACCTCCTTTAAGTCAGAGATGCAGTGAAGTCCCTTTGAAGCTGAATAATGGTAACAATGAAACACAGAGCACATTGATTCACTCAAGTCAGTCACAAATTAACAATATGTAAGAGATCCGCTACACGTAGGGTTTCTGATCACCTCGTCACGTTTATTTTGCAATAATAACTGTCTTGAGTGCACATTATCCTGCCTATTACATGGCTTTTTTACCAACTAAATAAATATGGGGAAATGCAATATTGATTTTGAGTTGAAATGATAATTTATTATAAATTTACCTGTATATTATCTTAAAGTTTCTACTGAGAAAAAATTGTCCATTACAATGTTCAAAACTGTCAGCATAGAAAAAAGATAAAAAAAGTCAATATTACAGTAGTATTAATTCTGAAGTTGCCTAAGGTCATTTACAGTATGTCAATAACTTGAGTTGCAAGCTGGTGTCAGTTGGTCTTGTATGAAACAAGAGAGAGTGAGTTACTTTTATGTGAGACACATGAATGTAGCGCCGGTTTCAGTTTCCCAGATAAGTGAACTGACAAACAGCATTGGTATTAAAAACAGTAAAGATTCCACAGTCGTATATACGGTAAATCATACACAGTTTACACCTTTTAAATCCACATCACATTTAACTGGATTTAACAGTTTAACAAATTAGAAATATAATGAGGAAGTTGTGACAGCAAAATATATCAAGAATTATCAGAGATGACTGTACAAAAGAAACCTGAGAAGATGGAGAAGCTATCTGAAGAAAAAAGCTAGTACTTAAGTGGAGAACACAGTCAACCTTAAAGTCTGAAATGCAGTGAGAATTTAAACAAATCAGCAGAGAGCTGAAAGCTAAGGGCAAAATGAGGCAAAGCAATAGTGAGTATAAAGTAAGAAAAGCTGCCAAAAGAACTCGGCTAAGTCCCTACAGCACACATCCCAAGGGTTTGAACGGATTTAACAAGCCCAGTGAGGGTTGAGGTGTGAGCGGTTATCTACAAAAACAAAATATAAGAATTAGTAAGAAAGAAAATGGTCTGGATACTTTGAATGTGTGATTTTAAGCTGTTTAGATTTCATCAATCAGAACACACTGAACTGATGTGTTTGTGGTCATCATCACATTCAGCTGCAGTCAGAGGTCACAAGTCTCCTCTCCAGGACAAGGAGTTGCTGACATCCTCCCTAAATAATAACAAAATAACTTAATTGAACCATTCATTAAACTAAGAAGGGACATGCAAGGGGATGGTATCCACCATTCTGGAAAAAATGAAAAAACAACAACAACAACAAAACTGAAACATTTAAAACGGAGCCTTTAGATTGACTGTAGATTAATCACATCACTTAGCAATGAAAATAAAAATTTTCTCAATATTTTAATTCTCTCACTCCCTGCTTGAGATTAGAATGGTATTTTATCTAGCTGGAATGAAGAGAATTAAGCTCTAGAATGTAAACATGATTAAAAGCACCCTGGATGTAGATAACAGAAAGAACTTAAAGGAGTGAGCTGTATAAAACATCTCTGGAGATTCCTTATACAGTCAAAAGCAAAAATGTATGGAAAGAGCCCAACAAACACTGGATGTCATAATAAGGTAAGAAAGACGTTGGACTCCAATGTTGGACATATGTAAAAATGTGTAAAACCAGCCAAATATCAACATCAGCTTCTGTCAGTATTCTATGTCAAATTAATGTTAGCAACAGACATTGTCCTGACACTGAATATTGGTCATCGGACGTCAAATCCTGTGTTCAAACAAATAAAAACGTGGCCTGCTGGGTGGGAATCAAAAGAGGAAAGTGTAGTTCAGCACCTGAAATTTGTCAATTAAATCTCACTCTCTCTGATTATTGACACATTATATATCAGTGATTCCAAAACAATATTCAAAGCCCTCCTATATAATCTAGTATCTCTGGTAGTTCTGATGAAATAAAACAAACTCAAAAATATAATCATCAAATAAATATAATCAGTTTAATGTTGTACATCTTTATTTGTAGTGTTTTTTTGTTGTTTTTTTTTACATTTTAATTAAGATTTTTAATATAACTAATTTATTTACGTTTTAAGACTTATTGCCACCCTGGAAGTTTGCAGCTGGCCCCGTTTGGTATATAATATAATTGCTACCAAAAACCTAGTTAGCACCCAATCTGAACGAACAGGCTCGATGAAAAAAAAACATACTGACTAAAAAAAAAAATCTCTATATATATATATAATATCTAGCACACAGCAAACAGTCATATTAAAAGGCCATGGGTTATCACTGCTCTGACCACAGTATCCTGACTCAGTTTGTTCCTTTTAATTAAGACACAAAAAAATTAAAGAAAATTCAGCTTGGCTTCAGTAAACAGGGGTGGAGGGAGCGATAGCTTATGTGAATTCCAGCGGTGAAAGAGATTAGCATGCTCTTATCATGTTCTTCCTCTCACTGCTGTCCAACATGTTATTACTAGGCTACCTGCATTTTAAAATCCATTATCGTGAGTAAGGGATCACAGTAATGAAAGGCTTGCCAGGGCATCTCCACATATTTGAGACATGTTTCACGCTTTGCCGCATTAGAACCAGACAAGACTGTTCACACGTTATAAAAACATCTATACAGCAACAGCCCACTTTGGTTTGTACCAGCACTGTATAATATCTAATGGTGTCATGCTATGTATTACCAGATACCAGAGGCTAGATCAGGGGTGCCCAAACTCGGTCCTGGAGGGCCGGTGTCCTGCAGAGTTTAGCTCCAACTTGCCTCAACACACCTGCCTTCAAGTTTCTAGTATGCCTAGTAAGAGCTTGATTAGCTGGTTCAGGTGTGTTTAATTGGGGTTGGAGCTAAACTCTTCAGGACACCGGCCCTCCAGGACCGAGTTCGGGCACCCTTGGGCTAGATGATCAACGACGTCAAAGCAGATAAGATTTCATCTGGATGCACAGGAATTCAAACCTTCATTGTGCGTTTCTTACATTTTTCACAACATACTAACAATGCAGTTAACAAAAGAGTGCTGCATATACTGTACCATAAAATCGGTCTTCATTTATTTCTCCGCATGTCCTTCCAAACCTGAATGACTCTTTCTTCTGTACTAATACTTTTCAAAATATCTTCTTTTGAGTACAATACATACAGGTTTGGAAAGGCATGCGGGCGAGTAAATAATGACACAATTTCAATTTCTGGGTGAACTATCATTTTTAATTGTTAAGGCTCAGGGGTTCTTACTACTTACATTAGCATAGCGTTTATTTATTGTTATTTATTTATTTTATCCGATCATTTTGTGCAAAATGAACCATCTTTCAAGTCATTTTTCTGCATCCATTGCCTGTAGTACTTTATCTACAAATGGCACAAGTGTCTTACTGCCTCCATCTAGTGGTTTAGCATAAAAAAGACATCAAGTGGAGAGAAAATGGCTGACAGCAAAAAGTTGATGTCACAGGAATGAAAGTCCACAGCAGTTGTCTGAGCCAGTAAAGAGTTTTATTTGTTTATATTAAATCAAAGGAAAGCACTATAATATACTTCACAAACCAAACACCTTGTGGTGTAATACAGAGGTTTTCAGTCTGGTGTTCTGGGGACTCGCAGCACTGTGTATTTTGTACATCTCTCATGGATCTCTGCTGATGATCTCAATCACGTGTGTTAAATAAGGAAGACATATAAAATTTGCAGTGCTGTGGGTCCCTAGGCTTGGGATTGAAAACCACTGGTTTAGTACATCTGTAATATTACAAAAAGAAATATTTGAATATGGCATATTACAAAAAAAAAAAAAAGGAAGTAACACTAGTGGACATGACAATATTTTTTAAATAATATAACTGTACATTTTTTTTTAAAGGTGACAAAAAAACAACAACAAAAACAAAGAAAAAAAGAATTCCTTCTATAAACAGAAGAAACACAACTAATATCTTGTTATGAAGACTACATTTAAAAAAGCCAATAAACACCTGTTTTGCCATTAGAGCACAGGGCCTGGAAATACAGGGGGAGGAAATTAAAGAGAGTATCACTGTACACTCAAAGGGACAGCAAGTGGTCAAGAGCAAGAATAAGGCAGGAGAAGATAAAAACTCCTTCCAGAGAGAGAGAATGAATGATGGGAACAGACTCTCACGTCATCCGAGGCAGAAACAAACCATCAGACCCAATGAAACCACCGAAGACTATAAAATATGATGCCACTGTTAATATTCATGAAACATTTCAAAAGTTAACTGAGATGACGACACAATGAGACGAAAAAAAGACGTTATTTATATAAAGAGAGAGACTTTTTTTGCAGAAACAGGATGCAGCAAAACATGCTCAACAGCCCAGTGCTTCTGTCTGCAACCCTCTTAAACATTATGTTCTCTTAAAATAGGTCCTAACACACCTAAAGAACAATGTTACAAAAAAAAAAAACTGCAGCTGCAGGGGGTGAAAGTCAAATCTGGTTCTGCTTTTTGTACATGAGGGACCAGATTTATCAAAGATTAGATCCAGGGGTTTATAGTGTGGTTCACATTAATGTTGTTCGGCTAATTTTCGTGGGCTAAATCCAGTCATTTCAACAGAAATCTATGCAATTGGGAATTTCCAGCAAAAGTTTTCAAATATTGATTTCGCAGTAGGTTCAAGTTAAGTCATACAGATTCGCCACACTGACCAACAGAAAACTGGTTTGAAAGTGACTTCTGTGCTTCGCTCCACCATTTACAATAGACAATGAACCTTTTTTACCCACGAAATGTCGCTAATGTCACCACACCTTAAGTCTCTGCTTGTGTCAATCATTCTCTCTTCTCGCCTACTTGGACCACAATGAACAATGCACAACAAAAAGAGGAAAAATTTTAGTAAAAGCGTCTTGATTAATTTGACCAACAAGATGGTTTTGAACTCAAAACTCTGTAATGACCTGGATGAATGCAAAAATACATAGCAAAAACAAAAAAATTGTGGACATGGCACACAGATAATGTTGTTTTTGCTTTCTATTACCAACCTGTGGAAGTGGAATAGAAAGCTACACAGATGACAACACAGATAGAAATGTGTGTTTTGGATTTCTGGATTTTGGTTATAACCGTTTCTCTGGGAACATTTTGCCCAGATCTGGCAGTCAAGAGGCAAGAGATGGGCATAAAATGACTCACGATATGGTGAAAAAAAATTACATTCCTGAACTATATTTAGACATCTTTCTTCATCTCAGAATATTTGGTCATTTGAATCTAATCATTCACAAAATATACTGCATTCATTTCAAAGTCTTCACATGCATAACATGCCGAGCAGGCAAGAGCCCTCAAAAAAGCAGACGTCTTTGCGTCATCGCAAATAACATTTTCGCCAAAATAAAAACTACTGCTTAAAATCAAAAGATCAATTTTGTTCAGATCAGTGCAAACTTCAACATGAGCAATAACAATGATACATATGTCCCAAGTCCACAAATCACACCTTTTAAAAACATTTAAAAATCCCAAAGTGTTATTTTTTTTTCTCGTAAAAACCCCTCACAAGGATCAGAGCTGCAGAGAGAGGGCCCATGCTGAACAACAGTGAGAAATACCTTCACAACAAACGTTCACGAAAGAAGACGTCCACAACAAAAGTTCAAATGGATAGAACATGAACAGATTAACAAGTACAAATACAACTGACATATTAGAAGCCGCATTACAAGTCTGTATAAAATCTGAAATAAGCACAAAGATATAGTAAATATACAAGTAAAACAGTTCCTTTTTATGGTCTAGATTGTTCCTGCCGTCTGAGACAGTCCTGTGCTAAAGTTCTGCATAGCCAAAGCTTCTATTCGCTAACTATGGACTGGATCAATATCAGCGAAATACAAATGTTTTTTTTTCTTTTAGATTTATACCAAAATCATAAAAATTTCAGCGCCTACTCACAATTCGTAGTATCTTTGTAAACAGTTTGCCCTTTTTCTGTTTCAAAAATACATTCTAGTCAGAAAATTGTGAGGCATATATATATATGTGGCAAAGCTCTCTTTTATCGTTTTTTTCTTTTTATACAAAAAATATGCAAAATAATGCTCTATACACATCATCTACACTCCCCCTCTCTTTATAGTACGTCACTGTGCAGGAAGAGAGGTATAATTCATTGAATTCTCATCTCCTGTCATTTGAATAAGGGGCACTGGCCACATTCTGAAGGACGGACTGAGTTTTCACAGCCTGGAGCGTGTATGAGTGGCTTTGGCTCATCTACGGGCCAGCAAAGTGATTGCTGATTCGCTGATTGAAAAAACCTGTCGCACAGCATTATCATGCGGTTAGCTTAGTTCTAAACTTCAGGCAGTGACACCAGAGACTGTTGGTTAGTTTAAATGTGTCTGCTACTCAGTAGCCCGAGCCAGACGGTTCATTACACCGAACATGTTCTGGTCTTGGTACTGAAACAGAGTTCGGGTGGTGTGGCGAGGTGGGAAGGCTCTACCCATCCTGCTGGTGTCTCATATCACAGCATTTGGTGCATCAATATGGGCTGGTATTAGGCCGGCTGTGGACTACTTCTGTTCCATAACACGTCATATTGTCATCTTCACACCGTCTCCACATTCAGGATGGTCCCATCCTTTTGCTGCTACCGAAATGTTATTGAAAGCTGGTGTGACCTACTGATAACATCCAAAAGCAATGTGTAAAACAAGCACATTCATTTTGTTTTGGTTGCATGGCTTTGAATTAGACCAGCAATACAATAGCACGATTCAGCCATCGGATTGGCATTGCTATGGCTTCGGTGTCGTGATTGTCACTCGGCACAAGGAGTAGATACACGGCAGGTTCATGTGTTCATGCATATTTGTTTGTTTCATTGTCTTTACAGGTCAAAGCACGTGCGAAGCATCCAGATAGGTTTCACACATCTGTTGAGTGATGATTGGTGTCTTGGGAGGCAGATGGAGCATGCTGAGCAATGGCGGCCACTGAGAGACGGCGTCTGGGTGACTCATGCGAGCATGATGATTCACTTTATATCAACATGTAGTGTTTATGCATGCGCTTTGTGTTTAAGAAAATGTAAAGATCTTTTTATGTTTATAGAAATCTGAGTGCTATAGGTTCTGTGCTTTAGTCGTCACGTTCGTGGACTTGTTTGTATGAATGTATACATGCATGATGTGGCTCTTCAAAGTCTGTCGCTGCGAAAGCTGTCCTCTACTGAGGGGTCAGGGAGGACCATATCGGGGTCACTGAGCATGCTCAGTCCATCCAAACTGAGCGGCTCAATACGTAGTTCATCCTCCAGTGGAAAAATTCCCTCTGAGTCAAAACACTCTGGCACTGCAGACAACACACTGCTGATGTCCTTAGAGAGGCTGGGATTAGAGTCGTCTGAGAGAGGACGAAAAACAGCAGAACCGTGAGTGAGTACAGGAGATGTGAAAGAAATGCGTTTCATATTTCATATTTTTGGTTTTCAGTGGGTTGCCTGAATGCCTAGTCAACTATTCGGCCTTAAGGAATACACCTATATAATCTACCGGGTTTTTGGTTGACGTGACCCCGATTGGATGAGTTTCTTCTGGGGCATTTACATAAAATGCATTATGTTCAGCAAGATGAAAACAATGGAATGGAACAAAATATAGCCATCTCAAGATACCATTTTTGCTATCTTTAAATTCACATACTATCTTAAGACTGCAAGACTTGTGTTGGGAAGCTCAAAACATATTAAGTGAGATGCCAAAATGTTCTTGTTCATATATGCACTACTGTTCCAAAGTTTGGGGTCAGCTAGAAGTAATACTTTTATTCAACAAGGATAAATAAAATTTGTTTTGAACTTTCTATTCATTAAAGACTTTTGAAATAGACATCAGTTTCCACAAAAAACAGCACAGCAGTTTTCAAAACTGAAAATAATAATATTTCTTGTGCATCAAATCAACATATTGGAATGATTTCTGAAGGATCATGTGACACTGGAGTAAATTCTGCTACTGAAAATTCAGCTTTGCCATCACAGGAATTAATAACATTTTTAAATATATTAAAATTGTATATTTCCATTGTAATAATATATTTTTTTAAAAATTCAGGTTTTACTGTATTCTTAAATCAAATAAATGGTCAGCATAAGAGACTTCTTTCAAAAACATAATAAAAAATCTTTCAGACCCCAAACCTCAAAAAAGAAAAACTAATTATATAAACAACACTGTGCAAAATTATGCAATTGACATATCAGTGGGATTTCAGTATAATAAACATTTAGATTTTATTTTATCATAGAAAGTGTCTTTTTTTTTATAGATAGCTGGTATCAATCTCAGACAGATTTGGTAAAGAGTTTGCCAGGTCTTCTTAGGTAAATGGAGAACCTCCTTAAAGAGGATGTTCTGCATTATTAAGCAAGTCACAGTTCTCATGCAAAAGCATGAGCTTTGTTTGCTTTTGTTAGGGGAATACTGAAATGCAGCTTTATGCACAACTGCCAGCCTGCATGCAGAGGTTCTTGAGACTCCAGAGACACCAGAAGCTTCAAATACCTGCTTGCTGCTCAAGAATCTTTTTACAGCTGCCCTTTTAATACAATTAATTAGTTTGACAGAAACCTTCCCTAAAAGCCTTTATCTGATCGAGTTATTCTGTTCTGATTCACTCAGAAATATTTTAACAGTTCGATAATCTCTATTCAGTTTTCACAAAATATTAGTTGTTTCAAGATTTCCATCTTCAGAAAGATCTTTCTTCCTCACCAGATTGCATGAGAAACGTGACATGCTTAATAATTTGGAACAACCTCTTTAAGTAGGTTCACCATTTACCTAAGACCAGGCAAACTATTTTATTTACCAAACCTGCATGAGACTGATACCAGTTATTTAAAAGAATATGAGAAATAAAACAAACACTTTCTATTGAAACAAAAAATCTGAATGTTTATTTTACTGAAATTCTACTTATATGTCACTTGCATAATAATATGGAAGACACTGTAGTCAGCTGTTGGACGATTAGATGAAAGTCCACTAGCATATCTATTGAATGTGACATTTCCTATTTTTTGGCATTTACATTTTATTGGCAGTTACATAAAACAAGAGTCCATGAATGAAACTCATTTTAAAGGGGTCATATGATATGATTTCAATTTTTCCTTTCTCTTTGGAGTGTTACAAGCTCTTGGTGCATAAAGAAGATCTGTAAAGTTGCAAAGACTAAAGTCTCAAATCCAAAGAGATATTCTTTATAAAAGTTAAGAGTCAGCC